GAGGCACGAAGTCCCACCCGGAAAAGATGTGCCTCGACGACGTCCAGGGCATGTTGTAGTACCTTTTCCTGTTTTTCTAAGCTGCAGGTGTGAGAAGCCCAGATCGTCAGGTCGTCGGCATATAGGGTGAAGCCGATATCGGAAATCTCGGCTAAGGCGTGCGGCAGGGCGGCCATCACGATATTAAAAAGTGTCGGGGATAGAACGGAGCCTTGCGGCACTCCCAGCCGATTCGGTTTGGGCTGGGTTTGTTCTGCTTCTCGGCCAGTGGCTATTGAAAACGTGCGGTTGGCCAAAAAGCTACGAATAAAATTGAGTGCTCGGCCAGAGATGCCAAGACTAACCGCAGCTGTCATGATGGAGGAGTGCGGGACGGAGTCGAAAGCTCGACTGACATCTACGGCGACGAAGGTGCAGGCGTGATTCTGCCGTCGACCTTTGGTGCGGATGATATGGTGGGAAATGAGAGACAGACTGTCTTGCGTACCTAGGCCGGTCCGAAAGCCGGTCTGTGCAGGGTGAAATGCGTTGCTGTTTTCGAGGTACCAATCTAGTCTGGCGAGAACCATTCGCTCCATGGTCTTGCACACGCAGGAAGTGAGCGAGATTGGGCGGAAGTTTTTAATGGTGTTGCGGGCCTTGTTCCCCTTGGGGATGGGCACGACGATCGAGTGCTTCCATGCTTGGGGGAGCTCTCCAGATACCCAGATTGCGTTAATCCAGTCAAGGAGCTGCAAGCAGGTCTCGTCAGGGAGGTTCCGAAGCGTGGCAGGGGTGACGTTGTCCGGCCCGGGTGCGGATCGCGTCTTGCTTTTGTGAATCGCCCAATTTAATTCCCCAAGGGAAAACGGCCGGTCCATAAAGTGGTTGGGCACAACAATTTCGGGGGAGTAGACGGGGTCTTTTAATACGGGCTGAGTGGCTGGCTGTGGGAAGAACGCGTCTCCGGCCAAATTCGCAAGTTCAGGTCCCGTCAGGCTCAGCTGGAGGGCGAGGGTTTGGAATGCCGTCTTGCTTTTCTTTTTGCCCATGAGAGCTCGACTTGTGGCCCAAAGCTGCCTAATTGACGTTCTCTCGGATAGCGACGAACTGTAATCCAGCTATCGGGTCGTTTCAAGGCGTTTCGCGTATTCCTTGGCCACGACGGTGGCTCGGGTGACGGCTTGTCGAGCCGCAGGGGTTTTTCGGCCTCTGCGATAACGTTGAAGTAGTTGAAGGCGTTTTGCCCAGAGGCAAGCCAGGTGAAGATCGGGTGTGGGAGTGTCCTCGTCCGTGTTGACGGAAATAGTGGCAGTTTTTAGTGCGTTCTGGATTGAGGATGTAAAGTCGATTTCTTCAGAGTTTGGTCTGTTGACCAGCTCTTGGCGAAATCGATCCCAGTGAGTAATGTGAACCTTGCGTTTGGCACCGAGTGTGTGGCAGGGCTTTCGGGAGGGGGAAAATTGTATTTCGATTGGAAAGTGGTCGCTGCCCCGGGTATCGGGCAGACATTTCCAGACGTGATGTTGGTAGAAGACGTTGGAGGTCCACGTAAGATCGGGAGAAGTGTCCCCCTGGCCTACGCAGGCTGCCATGCGGGTCTTAGTCCCGGCCACGTTCATGAGATGGAGATTACACATCGTCATTCTTTCCAATAGCTGCTACGCCTCTTTTGTTTGTCGTGTATATCCCCAGGCTGGATGATGCAGGTTGAAATCGCCTCCATACAACTTCTGTTCTTGGGGGTAGGTTTGATGAATGTAAGAGATCCAATCGTGATCGATTGTCCGCTTTGCCCCAGGACGAAGATATGCCGAGACGAAGATCACGTTATTGTTCTTAATGGTCGTGGCACGAACCGCAACTATTTCTTGACTGTCGTTGCAGTGTTGGGCGAGATCAATTTGATGTTGCGGCCAGTCGGTACGAACGTACACTAGCGCGTAGCCTGGTTTCACGCAAAGGGTAGAACGAGGGCCACTTTGATATTTTGGGATAGAGGGGCACGCATAGGAGGTAAAGCCTCTAATGTTAATGGCAACAGAATTGGCTTCTTGGATTAGAAGTATGTCAGGGCGTTGATCAGGACGTTCGAGGAATCGGGTGCGGAGCTCCGCCGCTCGTTGACCGAGTCCGCGGCAATTCCATTGAAGGATCCTGATCATTTGGCGACGGGCTGGGGGTGGTTAATGACGGACCGGATTTGGTTGAAAAAACTTTGGTGTTGCTGCTGTTGCTGTTGCTGCTTTTGTATAACCGTTTGTTAAACTCTTGCTCGGCAAGGAGGGCCGCGTCCATACGAGCGTTCAGAGCTGTCGAAACTCTTTCAATTTCGTCTTTCAGAGCCCTGAACATATTGCGGATTTCTTGCATGTCGGTGACTCTTGAATCCCAAGGTAATTTAGGATTTGTTTGGTCGAGATGGGGCTGGGTTGCCCACGTGTTGTGTGCTGCAATGGTTCTTTCCAGGCTCTGCGAAGAGGGGAGCTACGGGTATTCAAAAAGAGATGTAGGTGGGGGCCGTTTATCCTGTTGCAGTAGCTGTTGATGTTGTTTGTGCTGTTCCTTATACCTTTGTACTTCTTCGCGCATTTTTTTGTTGGTTTGTAGCCAGGTAGGGCATAGACGGTCTGTGCCCAGGTGGCCCGTCTTTTTGCACCCCTGGCAATAGGGTACCTCAGACGAACAATCAGGGCCTTGGCCAGACGTGGCTGAAGTAGAGTGGGTTGTGCCGCAACGCGGGCAAACGGCTGGGTAAGGACATATGTCCTGCTTGTGTCCGAGGCGGTGACATTTGCCGCAGGTAACCGCTTTTGGCTTGTGTGGGTAAACTCTCATGAAGCGTCGTCCATATAATACGGAGCGCGGGAGCTTAAGGCCGTCGAATGTGAGGACGGCCGTGTTAGATTTCCCTAATCGTCGTGCAGAGACTAGGCGTATTTTGTCACTTTCAAGGTCCGAGTTCAGTGTCTCGTCTTTCGGGTCTTCTTCCAGTGGGAAGATGTCGTAAATGACCCCCTTCGTGTATGTGGCGCCGTAGGTCCGGAAGACCTGGGCAGGGACTTGCTGGGAGTTGAGGGAAAAATGAGTAACTTGCTCCACGGCTTCCGCCACGTTCTTGCAGTTCGTACGAAGCGAGATTATGTTACTCTTCTCGATCAGGTGTAGTGTAAAGTCTTTTGAGATTGGAGTGAGCTGCATTTGGAGCAGATGTAAGACTGGTTTGATAGATGTTTGGGAGTGCGTAAGACGTATTTTGTACTCGAACTCCCAGCGATTGGGCTGCTTTGCTTTCGCCCGCGGGTTGCCCCCGGTGTTGAGGGAGTCAGGGGGAACCAAAGATTCCTTCCGCCTTCTTTTCTTTTTGTACGTAACCGTGTGCCAGTCTTCGCCGTTTGTGTCTGGATCGAGTTGCACCGGCTCTGCGTCATCTGGTGTGGACTTATCTGTGGGGTATGCCTCCATAGAGGTGTCTAGCACTATTGCCTGGACGAGCGGCACATTTGCTGTCGTTTTCTTGTGCCCGCCAGGGGGGGTGGTCACTCTTTTCTGAGTCTTCCGTTTTTTGTCTAACGATTGCTCGGTCAGACGTTTTGATGGTGTCTCTTTTAGACGGACTTGAATGTAAAATCGTTCTCCAATAGCGGATTGGAGGGCTTGGATTTGCAGATCTTGAGGTAGATCCGCGAGGGCGTTACGCACGAGCTGCGAGGTTTGATTTAGTTGTTCTGTGGAGGGGGGAGAACCGCCTCCAAACTTGATGTTGCCCACCTGAAAGCCCGGCGGGCCAGTGAAGTTTAGGGTGGTGATTTCGGGCTGCTTGCTCGGCAGAGCCGGGGTCGCCACGGGGGCGACTATGGGGGTGAGGTGAGCCTGGGTGGTCTCCATGTCCTCCGTTGAGGGCACGGAACCCGAAATGTTGTTCGGATGTAGCATTTTGAACAAAGCTGAGCGGAGCGCTGCGAGGACACGTCTTCCTCAGCGAACCATCATCTTCTTCCCATAAAAAACCCAAAATACAGCACCGCGAATGACGGCATCTAGCGGAGGCATTGCGAAGCTGTCCGAGTGTTTTTCTTAAAAGCACATTTTGGACTATAACAAACGAAACATAACTTATCTCAACAAGGTGGAAAGTTGGGCGAGTTGGTTGATGGTCATATTGAATGGGATAAAACAGCGTAAAAAAGACTGGTCCTTCGTATTTTTTGCGCTGTTTTAACCCATTCAATATAACTTATCTCGCCGGTACTGTTATTAAAGATCAATAATCAATTATTTGTGAGCGGTACTTGGTTAAAATCTAGACGTAAAACTATAAGGTCACGTGTCTAGTGGTCAAAACTGTGCAACATGGCGGCGGCCAATTGGGGGTCACTTTCAGCTGCCAGTTTATCGCCCTAAGGCCCTCCACCTCATAGTTATACACCAATTCAGTTATTCAATTCTCCTGCAAAATTTAGCTGGAAGCGTTTTTTAGGCTAAATATAGTAGGAAAACCTGGATTGCGTGTAGTTATGCACCAACTAAATTATCCAATTTTCTATAGTCCGTTGCAACTCAAGAAGGTAGGGCAAGGGAGAAGAAGGCCGGGGAAGAGGAAGCAAACGAAACGCTGCAGAGGAAAGGGGGAAACCTTCTCCTCTCTCTAGAGGTTTGTCTGCTTTCTCCTCGCCGGCCTTCCTTTCCCTCGCCCTACCTTCTTGAGTTGCAACGGACTATAGCAAAATTTATCTGGAAGCGTTTCTAAATTTAGTGGGAAAACCTGAATTGGTGTATTGCGTGAAAACGGAAGAGGTCCAAAAGATTCCAAATTTTATCGCTTTACATCTCATTTGGCGTCAGCCAGAGAGCAGGCGTAGTTTTTTCTTTGACCTTCTATTAACAGCTTGTGCCAACAACCAATTAGCAGGCGGAATCAGTGGTGGAGAAACGATGTTGTTACGATAACTAAGCTCACCCAACCACCAGGCTGAGACTATAGGCGTGGTTGACGACAATCGAACTTGAAGAGTACACTCTTGACGAGCGGGAACGAGAAAAAAAATTATTTATTTAAAACTTCAGCCACATGTTTGCATACCGGGAGTGAGCTGGGCAGTACAGGTAAGCCTGGTGCTATGTACAAGAGGGGAGGGGGCGGGTGAGTCTCAATACTTGGGCAGGACGAGGTTCTCCTGGTTCTTCTTGTAGACGTAGTAGCAGAAGAACACGGACACCACGGTGGCTCCCATGCAGGCCACCACCACCATCGAGATGCCGGCCACCTGCAGAGGCGACAGTTGCCCTGCGAAACAGATTGGGTGGGGGAGGGGTTAGGCAGGCCCATGGGGTAGGCGAAATACTTAGAAAGATGTATTAACGTGCAGATCCAGAATACTCCAATAAAAATGAATAAACTTCTAATGGCATATCCCGAGAACAGTATACAATAAAGAAATACATCGGGTATTCTATCACCTGCAAATACTTTTTTAAGTCAAACATTCAATTCGTATAGGTAGACATATTAGATTAAATTAAAGCACGAAAAGGAATGCAAGTGCTCAAATAATGAGTGGAGTCTATATGTTACGACAATCAAGTCCTTGAAAGAGAAATAATATGTTTAGAAATAATCTATGCTTGTCGTAAGGCGGGTACAACACCAGGAAAAAAACAGTGCAACTTCGGTTTACAAGGTGTTTCCGCAACGGGAAAAAAGAAAGTTTATTTGTATTATTTTTAAATGAAAAAAAGTGAAAGCCGCTTACAACTCCCTGTAACGCCGAATTAGAGCGCAGCTCTTGAGGAGGAGGAGGGAAGGGCGCTGGGGGGGGGGTTAGACTAACCAGAGGGGGGGTCACGTGACCTTGGGGGTCACGTGACCCCCAATGTCGATGATGTCATCACTGACGTCACTGATGATGTCATCAGTGACGATGACGATGCGGGTACCGATGACGTCATTAGTGACGTCATTGATGACTTCACCAGTGATGATGACGATGACGATGCGAATGTCGGTGACGTCATCAGTGACGTCGCTGACGACGTCATCAGTGATGATAACGATGACGATGCGGATGCCGGTCACGACATCAGTGACGTCACTGATGACGTCATCAGTGGTGATGACGATGACGATGCGGATGTCGGTAACGTCACCGGCATCGACATCGTCATCGTCATCATCACTGATGACGTCACCGGCATCCACATCGTCATCGTCATCATCACTGATGACGTCACCGGCATCCACATCGTCATCGTCATCATCACTGATGACGTCACCGGCATCCGCATCGTCATCGTCATCATCACTGATGACGTCACCGGCATCCACATCGTCATCGTCACCGATGACGTCATCATTGATGACGTCATCATCACTGATGACGTCACCGGCATCCACATCGTCATCGTCATCATCACTAATGACGTCACCGGCATCCGCATCGTCATCGTCATCACTGATGATGACGTCATCAGTGATGATGACGATGACGATGTGGATGCCGGTGACGTCATCAGTGTCGATTACGTCATCGGGGGGTCACGCGACATCGGCGGGGGTCACGTGACCTCGGGGGGGGGGTCACGTGCCCCCCACGAAGTCACGTGACCCCGGTGGGGGGCTCGCGCGGTGCATTATGGGACATTTCCCATGATGCACCGCGCAGTTACGCCGACGGCGACGGCGACGGCGACGGCGACGCCGACGCCGCTCAAGCCGGAAACGGGCCCCTAAGAGCTGCGCTCTAAAAAAGAAGTTAAACACGTGCTCTTGGCTATGACCGACTGAGACAAGACCGGTTTTTAAACCTGTTGCGACGATTGCCTGCTTGAGGATTGTCATAGGCCGTCACAAGATCCATCTCGTTTCAGTCGGTCGTAGTGTCGTAGTCAAACGCATGTGTGTGAACGGTAATTGAGACGTGCGTCGTTTGCAGATGCCCGTAAATAGAAAAAAAAGACGTCGTAATATAATTTTTCTCACGTTTTACTTCCTTTAAAATTTTGATACACGAAATACACCACCCACACGGCACTCCTGTAATAAATCGCAATCGCGGCGCGATACAATGAGAAACCAAGTTTTGCGATATTAAAGTCGGTTAAGTTTTTTGGGTCCACACGGTAGACACCACAATAATTTACGGACATGTGTTTCAGATATGAAAGGCGAAAAGGGCGCTTTCTTGATTTGAACGCTGTTTTACTTGCGCCAATTACAAACATTGTGCATTTTTACAATATTTTTGTGCTGCGGACAGCCCGGCGATGATTCTCGTAATTATTTTGTTAAACAAACAAACTCAGTTAGAAACGCTAAACATAATCGTTCGTGTCAACCTCTCTTGGTTCAGTTGCCATTTATCCTGAGTACGCAAGTCTTGAGATCATAAATCACCCCGATATCTTCAACTGTCACGTAGACAACAAGTGTCCCAAACCTACAAAATTAAATGCAGGACTTCTCTCAGGATGAGGCTTATCCTTGAAGTTTTCTCTTCCACTTTGTTTATATATATATAGTGTGCTTCAGCCCTCTAGATCTGTATATCATCTAGAGTCATCGGCGTATATTTAATCGCTTATGATTCGGCTCCAGGTGGCAACGTCTGATAACTATGGGGGGAAGGGGGTGGGGCGGAGCAAAATGGAATTAAAAAAAAAACCAAGTGTGTAATTAATTTTATATTTTTAAATATTCGCCGCATGTCTATCGGCACTATTGCGGGAGGCAGATCCAGGCTCATCGAAAGGGGCGTGATCTCTAAGGCTAAAACCGAAGTTCATTTTTGTCACCAAGTTGTGGTTGTGGAGAAGTTACGCTGACACAACTTTCTCTTGTTTTATCGTAATCGGAGAAAAGTTCTAGCAACAAATAAAATGTTAGTTGCTGCCAACTAAAAAAAAAAGTTTTAGATCAACGGTTTCCTTACAACGCTGCTCTTATGCACGTAGTTTCCATACTCACTAGTCAGCACTCTACCGCTATACCAGGCCAGTTTTCGTGTTTTTATGTAGGTAATTCAACGTAACGTAATGTTAAATAAAACTAAATTTGTGATTGCACCGTGCTAAACCCATGCAAGTAACTATGTGGATTAAAGTGGGCTGTGCATTCGACTTCGACAATAAGCCACTTCATAAGAAACAACTCGGAAAACTATAAAACATGTATGCATTACCGAATCGAGAGGAGATATTCTTTTTTTGTCTCTTCAGGTTTGGTGTCTAAAGACATGATGACGTATTCTAAGGAAACGGAACAATTATACCCGAAAATCTGCTCATGATTGAAGACCACCCGGAGACAGGGGAAACAAGAAGGACAAACACGACGAAGTCTTCCCGGAAAATGATAATTTCTAATACAAAATATAAACAGAAAAAAAAAACCCACAGAAAGCATATCACGCACGCATGTATAGCTGACGCAGAGCAGGAGAGCGACCTTGTTTCCAAAGGCCACGTTCGTTTAAACTCTTCTGATAAGGTTGACGTTTTTGGATATTAGAGAGTTTTAGTAGATCGTTCCCATGACTCCGATAACGATATCCCGATACTTCGCCGCCGCCTCCCTAGTGCATGCATAGTATCGTTATCGGGGCTATCGGAGGTATCGGAACGATCTACTAAAACTCCCTATTGATAGGTATTATAAGTCCTTACAACTCAACGTGAAGACTGAAAAGTTCATCGTCTAACCTCATTAAACCTAAGTACTGTACTGGAACGCTTAGAGCGACGAAGATTAGATTCACTCTATATCTAACGAAAATGAGCGTCGATTGTGCACGCGCACTCAAAAGATCGCGTGCAGGTCGCGGCAACTCCATGTTGGAGGTGCATATTCTAGCAGTGACCATGCGTTTACGGGAGACGAATCTACTCAATCTTTCATTATTTCACTTTTTTAGGGTGACTCTCGTATGGTCGAAATCAAAACGTGAACTACTCAACACCCGATCAAATTCCATCTTCTAAAAAAAAAAAAAAAGAAATGTATCTACATTTGTGATTATGAATAGAAAAACTTTTTCAGCAGCCCCTCCCCCCCTTTTTTCCTAAAAAAAAGAAAAGAACAAAAAAAAAAGTTAAAAAAAAAAGAAGAATACTCGCTTCAACTGAAGTTGCTGGTCACAAAGTTTGAGATCGAATTCTCCATTATATCGAATAACTATTTGTTGAGTGAAAAATAATTAAGCTGAATGCATTTTTCTTGTTCGACCTTTGGTCCGATTGCTTCATACATTTAGATTAGATCGAATTCTCCATTATATCGAATAACTATTTGTTGAGTGAAAAATAATTAAGCTGAATGCATTTTTCTTGTTCGACCTTTGGTCCGATTTTTCATACATTTAGATTAGGGATCATTTGTTCTGTGATCATTTTTTTTTGACAATTGGTTTCGTACACATGTTTTATTGTAATATATTATGTTAAATATTCATAATTAACGCTGTTTGGCAACCAAGTCATTTTGAACGGTTACAGCAGCGAAAGAGAGCGAAATGGTGGGAACTGCAACCGGCTGTGATCTACCCATCGCACTACCTGTGTGGTCTTACCGATCAGCTGTCCTTCGCTTTGGGCATTGAAGTCATATCCTCCGGCTCCTTGGCAGGATACCCTCGTGATGATGGCGAGAAGACCTGCGGAATTGTGAAATGGAACTCGTCAGAGAAGTGACTCAGGTGAGAAGTATTCCGCGGGCAGACGAGCGGCCATTCTTATCTCTTGGAGAGAAAGAAAACAATCGCTACGCCAAACATGGCGTTTCCTGGAGACGTCGTGTACCTCGCGAATACCGGGTAGATGGAAGATTGCAATTTTGAAATGGCACTTTCGTTTCGTTAAGTCTTAACGAGAACACGTTCTTTTTAAGCAATTACGTTACTCTGGGTTCACGAATACGTAATTGCAGTAGTATTTACGGTAAATTGGACAGCGAAATCTGTTTCTAGCGGTTTGACACTACTTACGGAGTGGTACACACGGTTGACGCTTACTCACGGGAAATGAAAGAGGATATGCAGCAAAAAGAACGATGAAAGCGCACGTTAACACACAGTTACGAGCTAGTTACATAGAAAGGCGCGCACTTTCGTAATACAGATATTACAAAAAATTGAAGCAAGCCTATAGCTCTGTATGGTCATTCTCGCCCCTGATAGATTATAGACATCGGTCAATTCGAAGCTCAGCCCCCCCCCCCCCCCCCCCCCTACTCTCATTTAAAGCAGAATTAATTCGATTTCGCGTGAAATATCAATCGCTCTAAAGTTCCGTTAGTGTTGCCTCTCCTCAAACAACAATGGCGCGGCCGTTTTCAAAGGGCGTAGGCCCCACATGTCCAGGGACGAAACACTCACCAAAGATGACAGGTGCGAGCAGTTCCATGACGAAGCAGTCCTTCGGGAACAAATCAGATCTGGGCAGTGGTAGCAATCGAGGCCTGGTCGGAATTCGCAGGAATCCCCAAATAAAAGGACCGGAAATCAGGCTGGCTGAGAGATCCCGGCGGTCCAGGGCTAGTCTGAAAGCAGGAGAGCTACTACGGCAGGGCTCGCTCTCAACGGCCTCGTTATCGGGCCCCGAGGCGGGGCCTCGCAACGGACGACGTACCTTTGGAACGCGGGTCTGCTCGCTGACGCGGCCGGCAAACAACGTGCCGCGTTAGATCCTCGTACCTGAAGCGATAAAGGAAGGAAGCGGACAGCTTCGGCGGGTCGAAGGCACGTCGACGATCGCGCACGTCGTTGTCCAAACTCCTACGCGTGTGTGCCGTAGTACAAAAGTGACTGTCTCGTGTGTACGCTTGGACATCGGGAAGGATCAACGCAGTGGGCGTCTGCAGTGTGTCCGCTGTAGATGAGATATTTGACCACTGCAGTACCTCCATTAGCTTGGGGTCCTACATCACTTAGTAGAGTGATACATGGCCGCATGCCCGTACGATGCTGACCCTGATCGAAACGGACAAGGATTGAACTTCCGTTGTGATCCGATGTGTGTATGTGTGGATACAGCGATGAGAAGGAACACCTCACTTTTTTGAGATGGGGATTTATGGTAATATTTTGTTGATAGCACAGTCCCGCGTGGTACCGCACGATGGCCTCCATCGTGTCACTTAGTTTGCCAGCAAGCGTAGGCCTGACCTTGTTGTTGAACTATTTATGGTAACAAAGCTTGAACTGGACATTCTGTTCTCCGACATTAGCCGCGCAGTTAGCTAAATACCAATTGTATTTTATTACGACACGTTGGAGGTGCACGCACTCGTTCAGGAACAGATTAACAGGGTCTATATAAGCAAAACATTTTGAAGTTACAAAGCATTTTGTCAATAGACAGCTGGCTTTGTTGCCCAACTTTTGTTTTACAACAAGCTGAAACAAAAACGCGTGATAGGTGCCTCCTGTATGGTTTGGCATATGTAAATAAATAGACAAGATTCAATATCGATAGCAGCATGCTATGAGAAAGGCTGGCATTTTATATTTTTTTATGAATTACTTCAGGTTCGAAATATCAAAGGGCAAGCTTACGTATCGTTCTTGCCTAGCTAAAAGAACTAGGTATATTGCTATGTGATATTTCTGTGTTAATGTGGTAGTAATCCCTTGCTGCAATCGTTTCAATTCTCTCTGTTGTTTTTTGTTGACGTGAACATGTAATTATAAATATCATTTTAATCTCACCTTACAAAAAACAACAAAAGATATTTTCACTTATAACTTTTTTCTTCTGCCATATTAAAAAAAACACAAAAAGAATATTTTCACATTTAATTTCGTCTTCTGTCGTTTTTACAGATAACGACAACAAAAACGTATATTTTCATACAGATATTTTCTTCTTTTTAACGGTGTTAAAATGATAACCTACAAAAATCCTCCCGGAAAGCCTTACCGTTGGTCCCAGGTTGTATAAGGTAAGATAAAAAAGGATGGCTGAGTGAGAAAATTAGGCAATAAAAAGAGACGGCCGGAGTAGAAGGAGAGAGGTGAGATGGAACGCGAGTATTACTAAAGGGCGAACTGCCTGCGATTTCCGGGTTTTCTTCCGAAAATAAAATAAACTGCAGTATATCCAGCCAGCTCGGCTTGTTTCAAGAACACGGAATTTCTCCTTACTGCTATTTAACATCAATGCGTAGAGGCAGATATTGATCACTTTTGGACCGGCTCAGCACATTGGTGCTATCTTGTAGTAAACTAACTGATATATGGCTGGTTTCAAAATTAATCTTTTTAATCTTCCATGGACGTAAAAGTCACTAAAACTTCCTAAGTGATTTTTCGTGCATACTTGTATTCTTTTACACAAAAAAACATGATCGTGCTTTTAGTCAAGGTTCATAAAACTTAATACTCCCCCCCCCCCAAAAAAAAAAAAAAATATATATATATATATAAATAAAAAAAGAGACTGGAGAGGCGGGTGACGTTTTGAAAGTAGTTTAAGGTCTAACTACCCTGAAAGTAATTTAACTCGGTAGTCCACACTATTTACTGCCTATTAGCTGCCTAATCAATACTAATTAGTAATTTGGATAGCAAAATTAGTTAGGGTGAGGCTGAACCTTGTTTGTTAGCACACCTTTAAATGGCTCTCTATCAAGTGGTACGTTGACTTGGCAGTGTAATCCCAAAGCTGCTTTCAATATTCAAGGTGCACCACGAAATAAAACCTCAACATGCCATAAATATCTCTTCATACTCGCACGTAATTTCGAGGGAGGTGCATGTTTCATAAAGCAGTTGACTTTTCTGATTAATTCTAATTACTATAAACACTGTTGTCTCGCTTCCGTAACTCGCCAGGTTTAAGTTCTGGAGCAGATGGCGTGCATTCAATGCATCGCCGTACACTGAACCATTATTCTCTTAAAGTCTCATTTATCGACCGCCTAGTATGCATACGTTCACTTGTTGATTCTTGAGTAGTGAGCGCTGAAAGTATGTTCCAAATCGTCAACATTTTGTTTAAGTCTCGGTTTCAAAAGGGACGCCATATCACAGGTAACCTTCTGGGAAATTGGTCGACGGGGGACATATTTTCGAAAACGGTCTTTTTGCGATAAACTATATTCTTCATAATTCAAGGGTTGTGTACTGTAACGTACACGGCAGTGTGAACGCCCCATGCAGCTATGGGGCTGAGAGGCTGAATTGCCATGGGGATCTGCTAAATAGAACATCGGTGGAAACATCCCGAGCATGGACAAGGGTCGTCCAGTGCTTATCTGTAGCAAGTGAAGAAACCGGCGCATAGGGGCCGAGGAGTTTGCTGTCCATTGCGATCTTCCCCTCGGGCCAGATGGGTGCGGCGGTGTCGTGTGTCAGCCACTTGAAGTTTCTCATTTGCTACACTTTGAAGATCGCTTTAGGCTAGTGTGAAAAAAATAGTTTGCAGGAACGTTACTCGGTTCAAATTTAGGCAGGTATTGCGTTTTGAGGATGATATATTCTACTATGCTTACGTGGGTGCACATATAGCCTACCAGCAATTGAAACTCCGAGAGTATAGTAGTAGTTTTAGCGTTGATCTGACCATTTAGTTATGGTTTATTTGTGCAAATGTTGTTGACTTATAAAAGCTTACGGAGACAACTCTATTTCAAACTTCTAAAGATGAAAAGAAATCAGAGATAACATTATTTTGTGTTTATCACGCTGTGAGGAAAAAAAAATATATTTGGATAATTTACTAGGTAGTAGGGTCAGGTTAAACACAGAACTAGATGATGTGACACAATAAGGGTTAACCCTGCTAATTATAAAACATTAACAGTATATCGTATCAAACTTGTATGGAAGGTACATTGAAAGCAACAGGTTATGTTATATTGTCACAAGCGTACTTCTCTTCAGAGACGTCGAGTGTCCTCTCCTAGAGACCATTCCCTCAACCTTTCGGCAAATGGCCACACAGTGAAGCGAACCGATTTTCGAGAGGGATATACATTTGAGCGAATGTACAACCATATATGATGTTCTTCTGACGATAGGAGAAACTCGAGCCACCTCGCTGGGGTGTCTGAACCCCGGAAAGACCCAGCCGTAAATAAAAAAAAAAAAAAAAATGTATATTTAGACTCCACAGTTTGTGTTCGTGCTACATGTCAAGACCCCTAGAACAATCAAGGCCTCCGAACAGGCTCCTCTAACCCCACGTGACGTCATTCCACTTTGATGGCGTAAACTCAGCAGCTGGGCTTGAGCCCAACGCCCAGCGTCCTTCGAAGCATTGACTGGACACGAGGCCAAGACGAACGCCGACACTCCTGATCCAGTCTATGTCTACGCTCGATCTTACTGTGATGATGTAGAAATGACAATGCACGGGCTTTGATTATTCTAGGTGCTGTCGTCTTTGGACAGCTGTCTGACGCTGTTCGTAAAACGAATATCAGATTAATGTAAAATATCAAGAAAGAAAGACGGTGACAGAGAGAGCGAGAGCCAAGCACCCTTTCACATTCCAGGTTCCAACATCGAGAACAATCCTCAGTTTTAACAAACTCGCCTGGAAGCCTTGATGCTGGTTTCTTCCTGCACGCAATATACTTGCCAAGAGACCGATCAAGTTACACGTGATTTCAACTGTGTACAGTGTAGTTTTCTTCAGTTGGACAGGAGTGATATACGAAGGATTTCTTATTTGGTCGCGGAATCATAAGAATGATACTCGACAGGCGTTAAAACAACAGAATTACTTCAAAAAAGTATGAGATGATGGTAAAGCCCCAGAAGAGCAGGAAATGACGATGAAATGACACTACATCAGAGATGGCTGTAATGGCATGACTGTAATAAAATTACAGTAATTAAATAACTTTTCGTGGTAATGAGTAATCTAGTGAATTACTTTTCTAGGCTGGTAATTTAGTAATGTAATTAATTACTTTCAGGCAGTAATTTCAAGAAAATTACCAATAAAATTACTTTTGTCCCAAATGATAAAGTTCGTTTATGAGCTTTAAAAATAGACCGAAATTATTTTGTAAGGTCATAAAAAAGAGATCAGAGAGAAAAAAAAAACGGCCACTTGAGCGCAAAGCTTTGTACGAAGAACTCGACAGACACACAAAGGCGAAGGAGAAAAGTTTGCATGTAAAATACATCGCTGGAAGGCCACGGCTCACGAACTCCAGGCAAGACAAACTCACGGCGTTACGTCACCGCGACGATGCTATACTTCATTCATCCCTAAGCTGACAATGCGGAGGGAGCTCTCTCTGAGCGTGGGTATAAACAAGAACTAGGTTACGTGGCGAAAGACAGACGCAATAACTTGGGCTCTTCGGGTGTTTGGGAACAATACCTTTCGAGAGGAATGACCGGGAGTACGTCAACAGTGCTCTTGGGAGAATGGGATTAGATTGCGTCCGAGGCGGAAGGGAACCGTTTCGCGTGGCGACTCCTTGTAAACACGAGCTCCCATGGTCCGACTTAACATTGTGACACGGACTATAACTTTTTCTAAATTAGGAAGACGGACACAAATCACCCTTTAAGGACCTTCACCGTTGAATAAACAGTGAAACCGGTGAGTCGACTGTCATTAAGTCACATTTAAATGAAAAGCGATTCATCATCTTTAACATTTATGTTGTGTGAGCCAGAAGAACGACTTGTTCAGCATGGTTCACTTTGTGGAGCAAACGTCTGTTGCGGTGCAAACAGGAATACCTGAGTTTTGGTATTACATATACTATATATAATATGAGTACGAATTACGGCCTCAAAGTTTTGAAAAGTAATGTCAAAGTAATTTCATTACTTTCGGAAAGTAATTGTAATGTCATGTCATCAGTTTAAGTCTGCGGTAA